GACCGGGGACGTTATGACCCGCGCTGACCCTCGCAAAGCCAGCTGAAGTGGGACAGCTTCGTTTCTCTCTGAAAGTATAGTTTTTAACTTGTTCCTAGCCCACATATAAAGTACCTCCACTGGGTATTTATGCTTGAAGCGAAGGTTGGGTGTTATACAAGTTTCTGGTTTAGTAATTTTAATGGTAACTTTTTAATCTGGTCATTATTTTCTTTGATTGCTATTTCATCGACCTCTGGGGACAGCTGCTGCTTGCACCCGCTAAACTTGAACGCAGACTACGGTAAAGAACGTTATGATTATTTGAAAAGGCAGGGTGTAATGCATTTCAGATTAGCACTGAAAGAAAAGCTATTCAAGTTAGAGGTTCACTTTGCCATATCACACTCTATGCTGCTTTCCTTATTATCAGTACAAAAAATGAAATGAGAATAGCACATCTTTTAATTTTCTTCCACTATTACCTCTTGATTTGCATTCAGAGCTCCCAGAAGAAATACTGCTGAATTCAGAAGTAGTCTATTTAAGCTGCATGGTGTTTAAAAATTGCTGGAAGAGGTTATGGTACTGTATATTATGCAGTTGACCTTACTAAGAAGCTATGTTAACAATTTAGACTTATAATTTTCTCCCATTACATTTTGTTAAAATATTCCTTTTTCTTTTTTTTTTTTAAAGCAAAATTCATTATCTCTTTCGGTACCCCTGCAGCTTACACCTTTTGATTTCTTTCTAACTTATTTGGTAAGATTTCTAAATTGTATTTAAACTTCCTTTACTTAAAAGGTTGTTTTGCCACTGTCTCTTTGCAACAAGGGATTTCTTTTTTTTGCCTCTGTCTCTCTCTTGCACTTGGTCTGCAGAGGCTGTGTTCCTTGCTAGCGTTTTTCTTAGGAGGAAAAAAAACCCCAAACCCTCCCTGTTTAGGAGTCCTGCACATACGTTTGAACTCTTTTATCTGGCACTGTCATGTCTTATGACTGGTCACATTTGAACAAGGTGCCCGCACAGAATATTTTGGGTCCTGCCTTTACCCACCAGTAGCAGCCTCCCGGCGCGCTGGGTGCAGCCTCCTGGATTTCACCTTTGTTCCATGGTTGTATCTAGCAACGGCCAGCGCCAGGCACATCAGCAAAAAACGTCAAATCCCAACAAACCCACGACAGCAAAATGTGCCGGGGAGGGGAGAGCTCTGTCTTGTGACTCTTCAGGCTGCGTGGCCGTTAAGAAAGGTGTTTATGCTCGGTACTGGTGCGTTAGCAGAAAGCCCCGTCAGCAGGGGAACCTGCTGGGCAGGACGTTTTCTAAAACGCACGAGGCGACGCTGCCCCTGCTCTGCCAAGCCTGCAGCCTCCCTAGTCCTCAGCAGCCGACGTTAGGTTCGCTGCCGCCCGGATCATCTCTTGTCGAAAAACTAGATAGCTCTGACATAGCTATGACTCTGCCAGGACATAAAACAGGGCCAGGGCTCTCGGCCTGAGGCCAAGTAGCACAGACTGGCCGTATCTGCACGGCCGCGTGCTTGGCCTTGAGTCTCCTCTGGGCTCCACGTGCTGTCCCTGTAGCGCTAAGGTATAATTACTGTTTTGAAGTGGTTTGTACTTTTTGCAGCCTGAAATGTTGAAACCAAGCGGGGCCGTGTTGCAGCCGAGCAGGGCACTGACTTGGAGCAGCACACATGCTGCGTGCCTCGGCCGGGGGCACCGGGCCAGGCGGGCGAGGAGGAGCTGCGAAGCCTCCCGGGACAGCGCTGGAGGGCCACGGGGGCGGACGGAGCCAAGCCGAGCAGCCTCGGCCCCAATTCCCACCCAACGCGGTCCCCGGTGCATATCCTCCCCCAGTAATGCCTGGCGCTCTCAGGGAGTGCTACTTGGCACGGGCCAAGTTCACGCAAGTAGCAAGCTAAAAATTAAGCAATACGGACAATCAGTGGTCCAGCGCTGGAGACTGCCCCCATCTCTCTCTCGCTGAGCAATGTCGGCCCAGGGTCTGAGCCTGGCCTACGGGCTCTGGCTCTGAGAGGCAGCCGATAAGGGGGGGTTTCTTCATTAAAGCAGAATCAAGTTGTGCCTCATAGCTGCAAGCGCTGGGTGAAGACAGCATAAGGGTTTCAACATTTTAGTGTTTCCTGAGTTTCTATTCATTCTCTGCACTATTCCAGTAGACTTAGACTTCATACAGCAAGAACAATATATCAAGAGCTGGCTTCCTGTTGTAAAGTCAAGGAAGGGAGTGAGAGAAAGCCAATATACATCCTGGAGCCCAAAGGTAGCTTTATTCATTTAATCTCTAGGAATGCAGACTGTGATCAGCACCATAGCAACTGTCTGAGGCACTTGAATGAGTTAGATACACAGATAACAGTGCTTGTTATTTTTATAGCACCTTTTATTGGAAAATTTATAAATGCTAGATACCAGCTTCACTGAGACAGATGAACTGCATTCATGTCTTGATACAGAGATGCCATAAAACCTCCATTTGTATCACTGGGATATATCTGAATCACAGAGACTCTTTGGCAACAAATAGGTGAAGCAGTTAGAGATTTTAAGGAGAAGAATAAACCAAGGGGGTAAAAACATACTAAATAGATGATGAATTGGTCTATGCGCAGAGCCAAGCTGAAACTTGGCAGCTTTATAAACCAGCTAACACTGAAATAAATGAAAGCCCAGAAAACAGAAACAAATCCGGAACAAATAAAATGACGAACTCACAAATATTATAAATTGATTGTAAAGATAAAAATGTCTTGTGAATTAATTCTGACCATGTAGTTTATTCTACTGGATGCTTTGCCTCTGGGAAGATTACGTATCTGAAAAAGCTAGCTGAAGTATATTCACAGAGAGGTACAGATAGAAATAAGAAATCATTCTCACTTGAAATAATAAGACACAAGTTTGTCTCTGTGGTACTGGCTGGTTTTCCTCTGAATCATCTTGCACTTCTAGTCAGACAGCAAAATTAAAATAGATAATTTCATCATGCTGCAGAATATTTCTTAACTGTGTAATTCTTTCCTTTGCAGAATGCAGGTACTGAACAGATACACAGTGGTCTAGTATGGCAGCACTTTCCTGGTGGCCCTCAGCTTTTACAGAATTTATGCAAAACCCAGACTAAAAGGATGAAATTATTTTTTCAGGTAAAAAATAGAACCTTTAAGTGTATACTGATGCCACACGATCCTGGTCAACTCTGAGAAAAGTATACTGTACATCCAACTACTCAGAGTGGAGCTGGTGCAAATGCAATAGGGAGGACTTTGCCATGTAAACATCATCACCTTGGCAATTATCTGGCCACCACGAACGCTTGCACATCAGTAGTACAGCTATCCCATGGAGTATCCAAGCTGGCATGTGTGCTCTTGGAGGGGAAAGAGCACATGCCGAATCACCTCCCCCTCTTGGCTTAAGGACTCCACGTGTATCCCTGGGGTGACAGAAGCCAAAAGCGAATGGACTTCCTCTCGAGTGACACGTTAGCCAAGGTCTCCATGTCAGTTAGCCAACTTGAGGTAAAATCCTGTCCAAGATAAGGTAACTTGTAGTCTTCACGTTAGCAAAGGAGCAGAACAAATTGATCAGATAACTGAAAATAGGAATATATCCTTTCTCCATTTAAATCTTTCCAATTTATATTGTTTCTGTCCTTACATAGGAGGATAAGGGGCCTACTTAGAGACTCTAAACAAACTAGCTGATAAAACCACAGTGTTACATCACTGCAAGACTGTCACCCCCTGTGACAGGGATAGGTCTGACAGCGCTTAAAGTGGTCAAGTGTGTATCAAATTGCATGTAGGCTAACTGCAGTTTCCAGGCCCAGCAGAGGACAAATGAAGTTTACTATATCAGCCAAGTAATAGAATCAATATTTATGCAGGAATGAAGCTGAAAGTACAAACAAGGCCAGTGACTAAACTTTTATGGCAATTACATTTAATAGGGTACTGCATATTATTTACAGAAAACATTCAACACACAATTCCTACACATAAAATGCATCCAAAGTATAAAGACAAAAGCTATACTCCCATTACATGCTAAATAAAATAAATAAAACATAATTATTTTGGCACAATAGCTATTACATAAATAAATATTCCAGAACATGATGATTTAACTTTTATTTACAGTTTATTGAAAGTGCAAAACAATCGGCTGAAAATTAAGATATTTGTAAATGCTTAAGATTAGAAAATATGTGTTAAATGGCCACAATTAATTATAGCTGATGTTAAAGGTTTTGATGTCCAGGAAATTATTCTCTTGAAATCTGTTTGTGCATATTGTGCTCTTTTTGAACCAGTCTTTTGCTACCTTTATGCTATTGATTTCAACAACCTTATTCATTTATAATGGAATTTAGTTAAAACCTGATCGATAGTTTAAAAAAAGAAGTAACATGTAAACACAATTAATCTATTTATCATTCAAAACCTTTTCTGTCTTGTTAGTTCTCTGAGATGGCCACACTGCTTGCAGTAGTAGACAGAATGATTAAGACTGGAAATTCCTCTTAATATATGCTGTATTTTAAAGGGAAATATTTTTAAGCATTCTTTGAACGGAGCTATACCTTGGACCTCTCTTGAACCTACTAACATACATCTTCTACTGAGGTCAATAGTAGCTGGGCAAGTAAAGCAGATGGCCAATTTTGGTCCTGAACTGGAGAATAAATCCTAAAATACAGAGCTTTTAATTAGAGGGAAAACCACTACCTCCTTGAGAACTGTCAGGCGTTTTTGGTGCATGCTTTGCTAGCTATTGTATTTTGCCTTTTGCCTTTTTACTTTCACTATGAGAAATCATTTAGTACACTTGAAAAGGAATTAAGAGTACACAATATGGCCACCCTTACAGCTACAGTGTATAAATTCTTCATCAGCCAAAGTTCTCTGACGGGCTGGTACATTGTGCGTTGCCTAAGATCTTAGAATATGTTTTTGCTTATTTTTGTAGTGGCAGTGCAGTAGCAAAGGAAGTGAAGTTCTTAACAAGTGACCTTGACTGGATAAAAGATCATTTCTCATCACTGCTTCAAATGTCTATGCTCGACGTGGTTCTAGTCGGTGAGACATCTGTGATAAAGTTCTCTGGTTGTCAATCACATTTAATTGCCGTACATAGCTCCGAACATCCTGATGGTTCTTATTAGCTAGGGCTGCGTCAGGATCTGGTGAAAGAGAAATGATGTAGGATTGATATACTTAATGGAACAAATGCCTGAACAGAATGCATAACTCACAAGCTGTCACAGGAAACACCATATCCTGGTGCGTTAAAAAGAAAATGTTTAGAAATCTGTCTTTTTGAAACCTTTCCTCTGTATTTGATAATCTTTCTGGTTACTTCCCCCACAAATTAACTTTTTCTCCCAGATATCCTTCGTGACATTCAGTCAAGTTGATGGCCCTTGGGTAAGGTTTTATATACATCACCTTACCAGTCAATAGCTATAAATTATATAGCTAACTATTTTGAGTTAAAGCGTCCCATCTGCTTTTGAACTAGAAGCATTCACACATGTTCAAAACTATATAATTGATTTAAGCCTCCTCTCATGAAATAATCCTATTTCTAGTTCATCATTAAATATTTGCCACACTGTAGATACTTAGTGGCTGCCCAGTTCAAGCCTCAAAATTTACTACCTATTTACATTACTTTTGTAACTCCAACAGCAATTAGGAAAGTACAACTTGATTCAGATCTGAGTATCTTCAACTTCACAGCAAATGGCTTACAACCTAATAAAATATGTGGCACAGTACTTAAGACAATTCTCTTCTCTGAAGGAAAAATGCTGAAGCATCTTTTATACATAAATATATACCCACATACAAATACACACACACACACACACACACACACACACACACGCACACACACACACAGAAGCAGCACAGGTCTTAGCCATTGTGCATCTATTCACTGACTTTTTTTATATCATGCATAGTGAAAATCCACTTTGACTTTAAGTCATTTATGCCTGCAGGTCTTGCTAGTGCTTAATACATTAAAATTAAAAGATATATAGCCAGAAAAACCTTTAAGCCGAAAAAAGAAAGGCTCTGTTAACTTGATATTCTAGAGTTAAGCTTTGACCCAGATGGAATGAGACTATTTTTATAAAAATGTTTTTTCTTATACTATTTATTCAGTTCTTTAAGAAAGAAGAAAGCTGCTGTGAGGCAAAACGAACGAAGCGCTGAGGAAAAGCCCGTGTCAGTGTGGACTGAGTTTTAACAGTACACTTTGATGGGATGAGACCCACAGAGCAAACCTGTTTGCTCATATACCTCTGTCATCTTACTTGGTCAAGTAAGTTCTGATAATTATACTGACCAACAGGTTTAAAGTTCATCACCTTATGCAGTTATGTCATTCATAAACGTCATGTTTCCGGCCTGGTTTCCTAAGGAAACGAGGGTTATGCAAGCAAGCAACATGCATGTATCTGTGTCCTTCTGTCTGCCAGCCTCATCTCAACTACTTCTGAATCCGGTGGCTAATTTCAACCTATTTTAATTTGACAGATGTGTCGAGACCTCACAGATATTTAGCTCCTCCACATTCTTTGAAAAGAGGTAGAGGAGAAAGGGCTTATTAGAGCTTCCTAAAGGATGTTTCACCCTGTGAAACATCAGAGGGTCCAAACAGGGAAGAATCATTAGAAACCAGGTTTTTCAATCCTGTTACACACAGAATTAGTTGTAATTACTGTAGCTGCTGAGGATAATGCTGACTGTGCAGATGTTGTAATATACTTACTGAAAGACTGGTTTCGGCAGAATTTCACTGTCCTGACAGTGTTGGCAATCATACGCTGGAAAGAAAAGATGGGATGCAATCAGAGAACAAGCACTGTATTTCATCATCATTTAAACGAAGCACCTAACTGTGGTTGAGTGTGAAGACATACGCCAATAAAAGCAGTCATATGAATGAAAATATAATTTTAATGCCAATGCCCTCATGTGTAGGGTGTGATTTGCATTTACACAGGCTTAAAATGAGCATGAGTGTAATTTACATGCACTCAGAGACCCCTTTCCCTTGCTTGGATGCTGTAAAAGGCCTTCACTAAAAATGAAAATCAGCCCCTTTAATGTGCCCTTCTTTTACACCATCTTCCTAACTTCAAGAGTAAAAGCAATATCATGTACAACAGCTTGGAGTATGTACATATTTTAATTTTAAGATAATCAGTTCCTAAGAGCAAGGACATTTCTAGAGCATACTCAGCAATTAAAGAGCTTCCACATTTCATCTTGGCTTGAGTTTAAAATGCCGCCCTGCTGGAAAATGACTGCCAAAATGACCAAGTGAGGTTCTGCGTTGACTGGTTCCCCATGGAAGTATGTGCAATTTGCAACTGAGAACTTCCTGGTTGGAACTGGCCCTGTTGACAAGTTTCATCACACAGACCTGTTTGACAGTATTAGCCTGCACAAGGGGTGTCTAATTCAACATGAAAAGTGGATTCATTTTTTGTGGATATAATTCACAGAAAAAGCAGAAGTCACTTCAGTCCTTCTTGGCTGTGCTTGCTCTTCAGTAAAGAAACCATCATTCACTCACTGAAGTGAGCAAATATCAATGTATACGTTTTGCTCTGATGAATGTAGAAGATGATTAGGAGACTGGAGCATCTCTCCTGTGAAGAAAGGCTGAGAGATCTGGGCCTGTGTAGCCTGGAGAAGAGAAGACTGAGAGGCGATCTCATCAATGTGTACAAGTAGATCTGAAGGGAGGGTGTCGAGAGGATGAGGCCAGGCTCTTCTCTGTGGAGCCCAGTGAGAGGACAAGAGGCAACGGGCATAAACTGAACCACAGGAAGTTCCGTCTGAACCTGAGGAAAAACGTCTTTGCTGTGAGGGTGACAGAGCACTGGAGCAGGTTGCCCAGAGAGGTAGTGGAGTCTCCTTCGCTGGAGATATTCAAAACCCGTCTGGACGCGATCCTGGGCAATATGTTCTAGAGGACCCTGCTTGAGCAGGGGCGTTGGACTGAATGATCTCCAGAGGTCCCTTCCAACCTCAACCGTTCTGTGATTCTGTGAATCAGATGCCGTTTCACAGTAACTTTTAAGAACAGAAATAAGCTAAAAGCTAAGCTTTTAGCATGACTAAAGCTAAGTCACGAAGCAAAACCTTTTAGCTTTAGTAGCGGACTGCAAGATTTTAACTGGTTTGTGCAATTAGCACTATGCAGGCAATACTCTCACCTGTCCCACACAATTAGTCCTTCTGCATAGTATCAAATAAACTGAAACTTTAGTAACACTGGCTTCTTTTAGCTAGAGAGTTTGATTCAATTATTGTTGTAAAGACAAGTTTTGTTACAGTTTCTTTTGCTTAGATTAAGAGAAAGCAGAGGGGAGAAGTGCTATTGGTACCAGAGCCTAAAGTTTGTTCCAGAACATTTAACATTTAAGTCCAACAACTACCACATAGTTACATCTTCTAACACAACACACAACTCGGGAAGGCTGCTTCACACCTTCCCGAAATTTTGTATGAGATTAACAAACTAGTCATAAGTATATAAACAATGGAATCATATATTTCTTACTATTAAACAGTGAAACCTAATGCTCCTCAAAATTCATACACAATTATAATCTTATGTGAAAATGATTTTATAAATACAACACCTTTGTGAGATCTGTCATTTCAGTGATGGTAAATGCCAATGTAAAAGACGGCTTACACACACCTTGAATACTCTTAGACATTTTAATGCATTGTAAAGCATACAAAAATATGCCTGACTGGTGTATTACAGTTTTTCTTTTACATTTGACTGGTGTATTATATTTTTGTGGATTATTATTATTGTATAATCCAGTGCAATGTAGAAAGCCTCAAACTGATGTAAAAATATTTTATTTCTCAAGCACAAGTTCCCAAAAGATCTGGGGAATTTGGATACAGGACCTTTGATACTGTTCCTAAAGTCATACAGATCTGCCAGTGGAAAATAAGTAGGTTTCAAGTAAGAGTCATTTTTGCACGCTAATGTTCATACCTCTTCAAGCCATGCTTACTTTACAAATTTTCTAAGGAACTTATCTTGCAAGCATTCTCATATGTGCTTAGCATTAAGCATGTGAGTAATCCCCACTGACTTCAGTGGAACCTCTTAAATACTCCAGGATGAGCACCCATTGTCATACTGGACAGAATGTACTGCATATTACTGTGTTAGTTCTTCAAGTCCAACCCAATCCAGGTGAAAATCAAAACAATACAAACATGAGAAGATGAACGTTTCATAACTCTATGGATTATCTCCAGGAGCATCATCAGGTTGAATGAGACTGGCTGACCTGATGAAGTTTCAAAAGTGAATAACTTCAAGGAAAGATTTTCTAAGGACACTTCATTTTCATGAGGATGGCTGGTGTTGATTGTTGTGCTTTCTGGATGGGTTGTCAATACCCACCCTAATTTTTCCTGTCTGTCTGTAAATTGTTAGGTTTCGAAGCCTTATTTCACAATGATCTTTGGAGCTAGACTATAGCCACAGTGTTTGATTGGTTTAGTACTGAGCTTCTTAGGTGAAAACTTAAGATTTGTCAAAAAATGACTGTTCTATGTTCTTTACGTGAAGAATTTGTTCTGAGAAAAAGCATAGCATTCAGGGTAGGTACTGTAGTGCTGTATTGTACTGAAAGACAAATGAGGTATGTAATGAAGGTTTTAAAAGTTCTCACTATTTCCAAATTTCTCCCTATATGGGCTATTCCAGGCAAGGAAACAGAAGTGGCAATGAACCTCTGTGGCTTCTGGTTAGGAGATGAACTGCCTGGCTTCCTTCATTTGGCTGAAGGCTTCACATTAAGGAATTACTTTGCTTATTCCTGAGCAATAGGAACTGCCTATTCCTATGCCTATTCCTGAGGAGCTGGGAATATTCCCATTCAGCCTGTGCATTCAGAAGTATCCTGGCAATGATGCAACCCAAAGGAATGAGGAAGTGGGTGTTAATGTGCAGGAAATGGTGAAAC